ACGCTTTTTGGGATACAATAATCAATAATCCCCTACAGAACTGAAAGTGTACACTTTTTGGGGCTTATGAACTCAGCAACTAAGCTCTTCCTGTTGGCTCCCGGAACTCCCCCATCTTGGTCGAGAGCTGGCGAGCGTGTAGATGCCGAAATGTATAAAACCCTAAACCCTAAACCGTGCCCTCTCAACTGTCCGCAGACGGAGGTGGGCTCCTCACAGAGTTCAGGCACTAACCAAAATGCACTGGCCTGAGCACGGCTTCATAGATGCAATGTTTTGCGGGCTTTGTGACTTTGAAAATCAGCACCACCTGCAAGCTGAGAGCGTCGAAAAGAAGGTGGCCATGGAGCCGAGCCGCGATGGGTTGTACTGGGATTGCAGAGTCCTTTCTGCTCTCAATGCTGAATTAGTAGCCCTTCTAAAGACATATCGTCAGCTCAGAACAGATCCGATATTTATGGGGTCCACCTCAACAAGCAACCATAAACTCTTCTGCCTTCATACTATACACCCTAAACTCCAGACGCTTCTCCCAAGGCGCCCAATGCAGCACGAGGCGCTCCTGAGGATGCTTTACCTTGAGGGGATCGCATGAACCCTGTTTTCCCAGACCACTAGAACCACCATTTCCCCAAACCCTAAACCCTAAGCATCTGCCAGGTCTAAGGACCCTGTGCCCTTCTAGTTTTCATCAAGTCCCAGAGGTAGGGCCAGTTCAGGTTTCTTTCGCATACCCTATAAATCCTATATACCCTAATATACCCCAGTACACCCTAATTTACCCTAATGTACCCCACTATACCCTAACATACCCCAATATACCCTAATATACCCTTTTTGTGTCAGGCCTGAGCACGAGGCAACGAAGTATTCCCGAGATCCAAATTGTGGCCAGGTCTTGCGACCGGAGATCAAGTACAGGTCTCGTCCTTGGCTGCCTTGTCTTGTCACAACAGCCGAGTAGGGTTTAGGGTTTCGGGTTTAGGGTTTCAGGTTTGGGGTAAGAGGCGCCTCAAGCCATCACTTGGCGAGGAAGCTGTGTGGCAATGTGGCAAAGAGCCTTACACCCCCCCGCGCCCGCCAGCTTACAGTCAGCGACAGTCGTAACAACCAAAAACCTACCGAGACCCAGCAGCCTCTGGGTGGGTGTAGGGGGTATATGATCGGACCTACTTCGGCCAATTGTTGCGCCGTCCTCCTCAACACATCACTGCTGAGATCTTTAAGTGCTGTCAGTCTGTTGGGGTGCTGTGGGTGGCCCATACTGGAGTTGTTTCAGTGCGCGCTTGCAAAATGTCCTGACATTCCTGCTTATGTCCCTGCAGCCGAGTTCCTTGCAAAGGCACCTGAGTATGCATGCCAAGAAATAGGTACGATCCCATTTTTAGGGCTCTGTTGGTCCCCCTGAAGCCGGCGGTTGTTCGTTCTTATTGTTTAGGGTTTAATCAGTGTTAGGTAAGGAGAGTCCCTGAACCCGCAGCCCTGAGCAAGCTCCAGCTGTGCACTTGAGCCTTGTCGCATAAGGTCCATGGGCTCGAGAAGCGGCCGGACTGTCGGGGTCAACCCACCCCGATCGACCAGAAGTCCTGTTCAGATGTACGTACTTCTGGCACCATAGATGTACCATTTGGGAGTCCATGTAGGGTTTTTCGTGCCCCTTGAAGCCATGCTCTGAATTGCACAGACATCTGCACTGTGTAACGGGGATGTGCAAAGGCCGTTTGACCCAAGCCAGACCCTCAGACCCAACTGCAAGAGCAAAACTCGAGTGGGTTTAGGGTTTGGGGTTTGGGGTTTAGGGTAAGCCCTACTTAGGTGCGCGGAGGAAGCAAGCTTTCTGAGCTCGGCGTTCTTACAGCGACCTCGCACGGATGGGTTTTGCAGGAGTTCAACAACCTCCGCGGCCGCGTCATCGGCAAAGCGTCGAGCACTTACGCAGCGCCGCTGGAGATGAACAGAAGTTTCCCAAAGCGTCATGTCATTTTTCAGATTCTTGAATATCAGCAATACATATATATATATATTATACATCTCATTAGGGCTGTTAGCATTATGAATGTTAGTCATTTTGCATCTACCACTGCGCGTTTGATGGCTCTTCTCTAAGTGTGGGTTCCCCGTGTCCCTCCTCAGCTACCCAAGCCGCAGGAGCCGATTGTCCACTCAACCCATGGCTGTCGATAACAATTTGCTTGAGTTGTAAGCACGCCCATGGTAAATGCATACTGCTTACTACCCCCTCCCCCCACCATGACAAAACGGTCACTTGTCAAGAAAACAAGCTTCCAACGCTGATGCATCTGGATGCTCCCGGTTACTTAGAAGCACCATGGACCCGCCACACTTGTATATATTAAACAAAAAACATGCGATCATCGCCCGTCATGCTTTCGCAATGTTGATCTTCGTTGATTGTTAACATGGCACAAAGCACTTTTCGATCATACTTTGTAGTATATCAGTCCAGTGCAGAAGTCAAGCGTACAGGTATGTGAGCCAGGGAGCCGGGTAACTATACATGTCGAAGTATGAACACACCTTCCTGCCAATTGCTGGCACTTCGACTACAGCTTTGCTTGCGGCTCGCCTATCGGGCTTCGGGGGGTAGGCGTGGCGGGGCTGGGGGAGTTGGTGAAGGGCGCTTTAAGCTCGCAGGCTTTCGGTTCGCAATACCACATTGCTGCACGGTCCGGCAGACATGTATCGCATTGTTGGAACGCCCTTCCGAGCGAGTTGTAGGGCGATTCTTTGGGCCGTGGTCTACTTCCTCCCATGAGACGCTCCGAGGACGGGTGCAGAGGGAGAAGGGACAAAGCGCCACTCTCAGTTGCAAGGGCGAGCTTCCAAAAGTCCTGGACTCAAGACGGAAAGGAGAAAGAGACAGAGAGTGAGACAGAGACAGAGAGACAGAGGGACAGAGAGACAGAGGTACAGAGGGATAGAGGGCCGGAGGGACGGAGGGAGGGAGGGACAGAGAGAGGGACAGAGAGACAGAGCGCTGAAGGGCACGCGTCACGCACAAGAACGCAATTTCAGTGCGGGTGGCAAAAAATGCCAAAACCTTGCCTTGCATCGCGCCCTTAACCCTAAAACCCCCAAAATTCCCCAATCCTAGATTCCAGAACAACACCCAAGGGCTACAAAGGGTACACGCGAGGTATCGCGTCCAGATTCAGATCGGGAGCGAAGACAAGGCAAAGACTGGTTTCGGGGTTGAGGGTTTGGGGTTTTGGGAGTTTGGGGTTTCAGGTGTGGTTTAAGAGAACTTGGGACTATGGCGCCCATTGCGCGAAATTGCGATGGGATATGTCCGTTTTCTCTTGGGTTGTTGCTCATCCTTCAATGGCCAAGCCTCTGCCAAACGTTCAATCTGCCTTAATCCCACAGATGGCTCACACCGAAAGCACTCGCAGGTTCTGGCCGTCAACGAGCGTAATCTGCGTTCGGGAGCTTAGCTGCGAGAGTGGAATCACTCACTGACTTGGCATTTCGATTCATGAGCCTCGGAGTCCTAAAACCTAATATAAGCTCAGCCCCGAAACGCTTTGGCGGTTCCGTCAGTTCCGACGTTTCCGGTTCCCCTGCGGTTCCTAGCCAATGACGTGGCGGCTGTTCCTCCATGCCTAAACGTATAAGCAGATCCTTCCCCAATCGGGAATCTCTCTGCATCTTTCTGCCACGGATGAGAGGATGAATTTATCGGGCTACGTAGAGAGCCTCCTTCTCCATGTTGCCAAGCAGTTCTATGTTCAATCCGGGGCTTGGGTTTGGGGGTTGCGGATTACAGGGTTGTGACACAGCCTTCAGCACTGCTGGCTTGCCCTAAACCCGAAACCCTAAACCCTAAACTTCCCTAAACCTTAAACCTGTGCAAGAGGGGAGGGAAATCAAACAAAGCCTTACAAACTGCAAAACAAACCCTTACCAACCTGTAAGGGTCCCAAGTTTTTTTTTTTTGGGGGGGGGGGGGGGTGATATCTGGACCTTCAGCGCTCGCGCTCAGGCAAGCTCCAGAGCTGAGGGTCAAGCAAGAAGCAACCCGTTAGGGTTTATGGGACTTAGGGTTTAGGATGTAGGGTTTAGGGTTTTTACCCATTCTAAATAAAGAGGGCCCAGTATGCTGTCGGGGCAAGCACCTCTTATCTACTGGCGTGCGGTTTTGAAAGCGAGCGTAGGATGTTTTGGGTAGAGTTCGGGTTTAGGGTCCGGGGTCGACGACATTTCGGAGAATCAACAAGGTCCGGATTAGCTGCAATTGGCCCCCACATGTCGACAATGCATCCCGTATGCTGCAAGTATGTAAGTGCAATTTCCTAATGCCGAGCAACACGTTAATGGCCAACACAAAGCACCCCCAACATGCTACGCCATTCAGCGATGATCCGGGACGTGAGGTAAATGGGCAGGTCCCTTCTGCAGAGTTCCACCAGGGCTAGTTCAGATGGCGGCCGAACGGCGAAATACGCCACCCGTCTTCACACCGCACCCACGCTGGGCACATGGCACAGCAGGAAAAGACTTCACTGCATCACGCGAAGTAGCGTTTGTTGAAGTCTCAGTGGCCCGTAGTCCATCTTGACACTCACTTGGGGGTTTCCCATAAAATAGGGGTACCCTTTTGTCGTCCTGATTATAAGGGAATCCTACTATTTGGGGGACTATACTAGGGGCCCCTTATGCTCGTACACCCCCACTTCTTTTGTTGGAGCTCTTTGCTTTGCGTCGGAAGCCCCGGCATCGGCTTCTTGTGATTTGGCTCTGATGGGCTGGCGAGTATAGTTGGTTCAGGGTTTAGGGTTTAGGGTTTAGGGTTTCCCAAAAAGCTTCAGAAATACACAGGCAGGAAGAAGACCAACACGGAATAGCTGATACTCGCTAGGGCCACACTTAGGCGTGAGCCGCAGCCGTGGGCGAACATTCACCATCAGTGGTCCTTCGGCTCTGGAACCGGGTTCTCAGTCCGCGGCAGCAGAGAATAGTAAGCCCAGTGCCTACAAGCCATGCTAGTGAAGGCGGCATGCACAAATGAAGTGACACAGCGCCCGACGCCTAGCATATGTCGCTGCTCGAGTTTTGCAGAATTCAGCGGTTTCGTTGTTTCAATATATTATTGTTCCCTTCCTTCGGGTTTAGGTGAGTGGGGGACTTAGTCTAACATTTGTGCAACCTCTACACCCCCAAGGCGTACATCATAAAGCGTGGAGGTCGTCGCACCCTCAACCCACCCCACACCCACTGAGGGTGGACGGCAAGTCTGGGCTACACGCGCACAGGCCATGTGGGATTCCGGAGGCAACAAAAAGACTCACAAGGTGCTGTTCAGAATCTTGGGTTGAAGTTTCCAGTATTGTGGGTTGAAGGGTTTCCGAATATACCAATGGCGTCCCTGTTTTGGGGAGTCTTAAGATTATAGGGAGGGGGCTGGATTACAACCAAAAAAGTAAAAGGCCTCAGACAGAAGTCACATGACAGCCAGGAGTGTCCCCCACCCTTGTGCGACTGGCGCAGAAGTCAGCCACTGAGGCCGGGAACCCGCATCGAACGAAGCCTCTACTGCTGTCCAACATGGCAGCGAAGCATGCGTTTTAGGATTTGAGAGGCTTCAGGGTGTACGCTGGTGCTGGATTTCTGGTTTAGGGCCCTACGCCCAAAGCCTGAAACCCTAAACCTTTCACCAATGTTCTGTGCTCAAGGCCAGGTGGAGGCCATCCTGGTTGCCTGGCGCTCAAATTTTGGGAAGCAGGAGGGCGGGGTGGATCGAAGTGCAGCAGTCAAAGCGGCGTTGTTATATCGAAGCTTCAGCCATACGCCGCAGGTCGCCAGGTGGTCTGGCAAACGTGTTGCTTGGCTGAATGTCAAGGGGCGGGTTGGTGGATGATCCGCCACCCCGAAAAGCCTTGCCAACCCTTCTGTTGACCCTACTCCTGCTAAAGCGTGTGTGGACCATTCTGTCCTCAACAGAAGAAAGGTCTCCCGGGCCCCCGGAACCGTCAAGGCTCTTGACCGGTCTGGGCTTCACGTGGAAGCGGCTCCTCAAATGGAGGCTCACATGGGGGGGGGGGGGGGGGGGGGGTAGGATGTTGAGTTTGGATGAGTTTTGTTTTTAGAATAGGGTTTCGGGGTTATTTAACATTCTATAGCCGTAAGGGAATACTATTTGTACTTTTCCGACCCAATACGCTTCTAGCAGCTGCGCTGGTCAAAGGGACCTTTGCGGCGTGCAGACATCAGTTTTGCCTACACGGGGCAGCAAGTTCTCCTGCTTGCTTTTCGGGCTTTGTTCACTAGTTCTTACACAGGAGTTAGGTACCTTGTAACATCTACGGATTGCATCGGTGGCGCGGTCGTGCATAAATCCGCGCAGACACGCGAAGACGCGAAAACACGCGAAGACGAGCAACCGACCGGACGAGCGAAGACGAGCGAAGACGAGCGAAGACGAGCGAAGACGAGCGAAGACGAGCGAAGACGAGCGGCGTCGCTCGGCGTCGCTCGGCGCTTGGCGTCGTCGCTCGGCGCTCGGCTTTGCTCGGCGCTCGGCGTCGCTAGGCGTCGCTCGGCGTCGCTCAGCGCTCGGCGTCGCTCGGCGCTCGGCGTCGCTCGGCGCTCGGCGTCGCTCGGCGCTCGGCGTCGCTCAGAGCTCGGCGGCGCTTCACGGCGCTCAACGCGCGTATTTCAAGCGAAGACAAGCGAAGTCGAGCGACCACGTGAAGCCGATCAAAGACACCCGAAAACGCACCGCTTTAATTTAATATCTTTGATTTCCTCGGTGTCACTTATCTTCGCTCGGCGTCGTTTTGCGTCGCCCCGTGTCGCGCTGTGAGCTCTTCTGCAAAAATAGGCTTGCGCTGGCTTGGGGATTATATAAGTGTCGGGCCTTCAAAATCCATCCCACAGGACTGCTACGTCTTGCGGAGGGGGGAGGGGGGGTTGAGAACTTCATCTTTCTTATAGCAAAGCACCAACTATAAGTTGCTCTGGGTCTAGAGTTTATCCCCTATACCCCAAAGCCCTAACCCTTAACCTGCAACTCTACACTCTCAACCCTAAACCCTACACCCAGCGAGTGGCCCGACTGAGTCAGCTACACGCGGGCGGAAAAAAACCCTAAACCCTACAAGGTCTCTTGGCTTCACTCGGCGTCGCTCGTCTTTACTCGGCGCTCGGCGTCGCTCGTCTTCGCTCGGCTCTCGGCGCTCGGCGTCGCTCGTTTTCGCTCGGCGCTCGGCTTCGCTCGCCTTCGCTCGGCGCTCGGCGTCGCTCGTCGTCGCTGGTCGTCGCTCGGCGGCGCTCGGCCTCGCTCGGCGTCGCTCGGCGGGAGCGTTTTTACGACCATACTGCCGCCACGCTCTAACATCTTATAACCACCTATATCGCAGTTGTATAGAGACTATTTCCAGCACCAATCTCCTCATTCCCTACCAACTAAGAACCCGCAAGTTATAAATTGGGTTGTTGCACGGTCGCATAGGTCGAAGAAAGGGCCCCTTGACTACGTTGACTATGGTTCAGGGGCTTCTAACCTAGGTTGGACGAATTCATTGCCCAATGTAGAGCCCTAAGAACTCGACTTTTCACTCTCCTTGCAGCAGCTGGAGTTTATGCGGTTTGTAGGCTTTACAGGGTTTATTGGGATTTGTGGGTTCATAGAGGGTTTATGGGGTCATTTTGTTGGGGCTGAGGGTTGCAATCGCATGTGCAGGCGGCATATCTCAGGCCGGAAGCTCACCGTGGAGCGGGGCGCTTAGTAGGTGGGCAGGTCAGGAGTGGTAATATGAGCTATTGTACCCTATGATCCTTCAGAAAGAGCCTTAATACATGAGTTGCACGTGAGAAAGCACCGCCGCCACCACGCGAGCCAAGATTTTCGAGCCCTGCCTATCTCTCCGCCGGGTCCTGAGCCAGCACTCCATTTGTTTGAAGCACAACAAGCCCTTTTGAAGCCCCTATAAGCCCCACAGGAACCCAGGCCCGTTTCTGCTCCATGCCTTGATTGAAGTGAGCTACGGGGCCCCTCGCGGCCAAGATTCCCAAGTGCCCATCGTTTCAAGAGAACCTCATGGCAATCCCAAGGCTCCTAGAACCCTAGGGCCCCCAGAACCCGATAAATTCGATCCCCCCCACAAAAAAATCATGCGAATAAGAGTAACAAGAAAAATATGACGAATAAATACAAGAATAAACAGGTTCACAATAAATTATAAGAAGAAGAAGAACAATAACAATAAAGGGCATTTGCGATTTTTTTAGATTTTGTTGTCTAGCGTAAACGCCAATCCTAGTAAGGGTTGTTTTTGCACTCACATCAGGAGTCAGCCCGGTTGGCCAGCGAGCAGTTGCCCTGTCGGGTGCCCCCCCCCCCCCCCCCCCCCCCGCTGCCTTTCACGTGTGCCGGGTCGCATGGGCGAAGACCGTACAGGCCCTTAAAGGAAATTGCCTGGACAGGGTCGATTACTAGGGTTGCAGGGCCTAGTAATAGCCAGTTCTTGTTTTTGACTTGGAGGCTGCATCGAGATCCAGAGTTCCGAGCTGGTTGGAATTTCCATGCCGACAGAGATTGATAGCACGTAGCTGAACGGATGTGTTTCGGCTTCATGAGCTTGCAGCACTCCAGCTTTCGCTGCAGCAACTTTCTCCGAGCCCAGCAAGTGCCCAGTACGCTCCAGACTCTATGCGCGCAGTACGCAGCCCAGGGATGTGAGAATATTTGTGTCTGTAGCTTTCCTGGCAGGCTCTTTGTTGTCGCTAGCAAGCCATGAGTACAGACAAGCTACACACTCACCCTGCGTTGTGATCAATGGGTGTGGACCCTCACTTGCGCTGAGTGGGGAATGGCGCCGACGCCAATGAAAAAGTGCCTTCACCAAAACTTGTGCATGTGATCCGGCATCTTGGATGAAAACTTAAGTCGCGACGCCGTTCCTCGGTCCTCAGGAAGAAGCTCGTGCGGCGTGGAAAGCAGGATTCACAAGCAGCTGCCGTGATCAATGAGCAGCCAAAGACAGCTAGGAGCGGGGCGCGAACATGTTGATGATCCGCTGACACCCAAACCCTAGCCCTGTAAACCTTAAACCCAGCCTGCAAGACCGTATAAGCTTATTCGAAAGTCAGGAGAAAGGCAAAGGCTCGGGCAAAGGCACCAGAAGAGACTTCCGCTCCAACTGGTTTTGAGCGCCCTCCCGCGTCAGAGGTGACCCTGGGCATGTAATGAGAGTTCAGTAGGGCTTCGGTTTACTGTCAGGGCCTTATGGGTTTAGGTTAGGCCTCTTGCAAAACGGCTTAGAGGCTTAGAGGGCTTGGTAAAACAGTTCTTGAGACTTTTTATGCGCCGCCCTCAGCCCATGCTTCAACAAGCAAAGGGTTCTGGAAGCTCAGGAAGAAGGCCCGAAAAGGGCCAAAGAAGCCCGAAAAGCCGGCAATGGAGGACAGCGAGGAGAGCCCAGCCGAGTTCGTTCCTGCCCAGCCTCTTGGCTTGCCCAACGTGCCATAGTTCCGAATGTCTGTAGAATTGTTGGAGGTCGCATTCTGAGAGGGGCAGTGGACGCACGCCCTTTTGTCTGATGTAGGCCCAAGACCGGGCATGGACCTTGAAAGCATGCATAAGCCGATTCTGGACGGATTTCAAATTCAAAGCAGATTTAAATTCGAGTTTTAGCCTTCTGCTTGCGGGGTTCGGGGTGGCCTCTGGAGAGCCTACCTAGATTTGAATTTAATCCTTTTCGGCTGTAGAGGTTTAAATTCGAATTTAACTCCATGTTCTTCCTCCCCCGCCCTACAAAGGAATTAAATTCGAATTTAAGCCTGCCTGGGTTTTCAGGGATTTAAATTCAAATTTAAGCCCAGTACCCATGCAAGGCTTTAAATTCGAATTTAAGCTGAGACTGCCCTCTAGGTTTAAATTCGAATTTAACAGCTCTGCAGTCTCCTCTTGTCCGGGTTTAAATTCGAATTTAACAGCTGTACAGTCTCCTCTTGTCCGGGTTTAAATTCGAATTTAACAGCTCTCTAGTCTCCACTTGTCCGGGTTTGGATTCGAATGTAACCAGGCCCAATGCAAGTCGAAAGCCTCCTAACCCCCCGTCGCCCTGAATCTTCAACCTGAACCCTAAAGCCCAAAGACCCAGACCCGATAATTTGAGGCCCAATCGCCCGAAACCCCTGAACCCTCTCGAGGCTGAAAAGGCCTTCAGCCCGAAGGACCCAGGCCCAACGCAAGTCGAAAGCCTCCTAATCCCGCCCAGCAGATCAGACCGTCAGACCCTTAGATGACCCGTGCCCCAGACCCGTAGACCCGACCCTTTACACACTTCGACCTTCGCCCTGACACCCAACCTAACCCGTAGACTGCAAACCCTTGGACGCTTTAGACTTTAGACCCTTCGACCTCCACCCTGAGACCCTCTAGACCCGCAGACCCCCAGACGGCATCTGAGACCGTCAGACCCAGAAAAATTGAAGCGCTTGGGCCCGTAGACCCTTCAGCCAAAGACGGTTAAAATTCAAATTTAAGCCATGACCCAGAAAAGGGCATAAATTCGAATTTAAATCCTTCTCGTGGCGGGTCCTGGCGGCTGCTGCTTGGTTCAGAGGTTTTAATTCGAATTTAAGCCGTCGGGACGCGGGGGCTGCGCCCAGCCCAGGGAGGGCTTAAATTTGAATTTAATCCTTTTTTGAATTCGAAAACCGGCTTCATCCTGCATAAGCCCGCCATTCAAAGGGAGTAGAAAGAAAAACCCCTAAGTCTTTTAAGTCAATTCAGAGGTCGAAGCGCCTCTCCCTGCAATCAACCGATACTGTATTCGAAAAGACGGACAGGCGAAACATGGACAAGATCGCCTCCATGCTTGCAAAAGCAGAGCGGGAAGAGGCCGAGGAGGAGGAGGACGAGGAGGAGGAGGAGGCGGCACCTGCCCCTCGTTCAAGCAAACCAGCTCATGGAGAGGCTTTATTTTAAGGGTAAAGGGTTAAGGATGCTTAGGAGTTTCGGCTTCAGTGTGTTTATTCGCAATGAGATCTGGCCGTGTTATGCAGGGTTGGAGTTGCCGTTGCGCCCAAAAGAAGTTATGAAGAGCCCAGTTCTGGACAGCCCACAGCCATGTTGCGCCACAGCCAATAACAGAGGTTCACTGTGCTTAGCTCTGGAAATGTTAAGGTATGGGCCCTGTATCTCTACATAACCCTAGATGTGGCAGACACTTAATTTATTGCCTTTGGCGAGTAGGGTTCGGCATAAGATTGATGTGGGCATACATAGTATTGGGTTGTTTTTGCGGGTGGGTACTGGGCAATTTTTTCAACAGCTCCGATCATGGACACCCCTAAGCCCACGCCCCAGTTGCATGTTCCCTGCGAAGCTAAGCATCGGGGGGTTTTAAGGCTTTGGGCAAGCTACAGAAGTTGCGGCTGGGATTTGTGACTTCGGGAGGTTTTGGTCGCATAGGGAAAGTTGGGGTGAATTGTCCTCGGGTCCAGGGTGCAGGGTTTAGGCAGGTTAGCCTTCAGGTCAAGCGTCGAAAGGGGCTGAAAGGCCTCATTGCTCCTTGGCGGCAAAAAGCCTTCAGAATAGTTGGGCAGTTCCAAACTACAGGGATTGGGGATCACATTAAGCCCAAAATCGGGATCTGCTATCCTTTACTATGATTTTCTCGGTTAAGCTCTACTAAACTTCTAAGTTTCATGTGGGTCCTCAAGGACAGGAAGCAGAACTGAGGAGATGCATATGTACCTTCATAAGCTTTGGGGACTTGAGGGTCCATCCTTGGGGGCTTCATCGAGCAGTCTCCAGGCCCATGAGCCTTGGTATTCTGGTATCACAATAGGGTCGGAGGAGAGAAGGTTGATAAGGGAAGGAGGGCAAGAATGGTTTCTTTCTGCCTCGTTCGAAACAGGACACCCTAATGCCTTAACCCTTAACAAAACAAAGTGAACCCCTGGCAGCGTCTGCTCAGGCCCCAGTTTAGCGTAAGCAGGTCTGAGTCGTTACATGCTGGAACAAGCCCCAAAAACGGAGGTCATTTAGGGTTTAGGGTCTAGAGCTGGTGAGGTTTATGTTTATAGCGTCGAGGATCCAGGTCCTCCAAAGATAAGCGACGGGCTGCAACTCTGGTGACACATTTGAGCAGTCAAGTTTGATCCAGCTTGTGGGTCGTTGGGTCCGGATTCTGGATCAGTTTAGGGTTTGGCATAGGGTGCCGGTTAATGAGGGCTGAGGATGGTGTAGGGTGTAGGGCCTGCACACTGGTGAGGCTTTCTGTCTGTGTAGGAGTGTAGGATGTAGGGTTAGCTTGAGGGCTATGTAGAAGATCACTTGAAGATCATGTGATCCTTGCTGCCAGGAGAAGAAGCGCCTTGGCGGAATAGCTGCAGCGCGCTTGTCCCGAAATCTACAGCCCTAAGCCGCAAACCCTGCACATGGACTCTGCACCGTATCGCCTGTCCTAAGCTATAGACGTGCGACCGGGGTGGCCAAAAGAGACTATTCACGAAACTTGAGCCGATGCTGCCCTGAATCTCCGCTGAGTTGTTTTCGTATAGGGTGTCAACATCTTAGGTTATAGGGTTTGGGGAGCCCACCGCCGACGCCAGGAAGGAGATGAAGAGGCAACACCGCAAGGCTCACCTGAACGCATGACGTAGTTTCGATGATGCAGCCTCACATGCCTCGCAGAGCTTGACAGCCCTTTTTGCTCCCGGCACCGACACCCTTTAGAGGAGAAGCAGAGCGCGGAACTGGGCCGTCCCATGACGGCCAAGGAGAAGCTAAAGTTGAAGTTGAAGTGCCTTGCTTGATTTCATGCTTGCAGAGGTTTAGGTTATAATTATCGGCCTTAAAATGGTTTCAGGGTTCAGGGCTCAAGGCAGGGACGTCGATATCCTACTTACCTCATGCCTCTGCAGACCGCGTGTTTGGGCACCGTGTTCCTGATATGCACAAGCCTGCAGGCCTGTACGCCAGTAAACGGCAGCGATCATTGCAAGCCTCCAGTGTTTTTGGCTGCGCGTTGGAAACTCTGCAACCATGCAGTTCAGCAACCCTCCAAGGGGCACATTCATTGAGACGTATGGCTGCACGGATGGCAGGAGGACTTCAAAACACGCAACTCAAGGGACTCCTGTTATGTTGTCCATCATGGTTCCGCGGTGCTCCCTCCTACTGCTTTGCCTCGCCGTGGCGGTCGGGAAGCATCCCTCGTGCGGCAGTGAGGATCTCGATGACACCCCCCAGACGTGCAACGTGGACGCTGTCCAGTTGCACCCGATCTTGCATGACCTGGGGAGTGATGAAGGTTCAGTGTGGGGCATGCTCCAGCTCAGAAGGCCATACAATGGCAACTTTGTGTCAGTGCCGCCAGCCATTGTGCTGGTTCTCGTGATGAGAAGCATGGGCCTGGCACGTGCAGAGAGCACGGAAGTGCCGCTCCGAGGGCTACAAGGATGGGCAGCTCCATCACATCCACAAGGACAAGGACTTGGCAACACCTGAACAGAAAGAAATGAAAAGAGGGAGCACGTACCGAAAAGGATCGAGATCTTCGCCGTAACCTTCTGGGCCTCTCTCTTTCCCACAGCCCAGCAGAAAGTGTTGGCTTCCTCGGCAGAATCATGTGCGCTGTGCAGGATACGGGAGGACTCTACGAAAAATAAGGGACAGGATCTGTGCAACCCCAAGCCGAAGCCCCAAAAGACCTCCGAAGGAGCCGGTTTGGGGGCTGTAGGTCTGGAAGGTTTTTGCAGACCCCAGAATTCAAAAAAGGTTTTAAAGAAGATGCCCTGAGCTAGTGCGGAGTCCTTCTATATAGTTGTTAGATGATTCCCGCCGTCATCTGAAGTAATTCTGGGACATGGGAAGTTCTGGGACAGCTGAGGAACATCAAAGAGCACTCGATGGCACAGCCTCGGACTCAGTCTCCCACATGCTTTCCCCTAGCCAGTCATTGGTCATTGGGATCCCAGAACAGGATATATGATCTCAAAATTTAGGGCGTATTCCCCCCCCAAGGCTGGAGGGAGCCGAAGCACTGGCCTGTCCTGTGACGAATGCTGCGTATGCCCCCCAATCCCCCCACAAAACCAAGGAGCAAGAATCGAGGGAAGGAAGCCAAATCTTTGCCAGAGTGCCTTGGGCTATGTTGGCAGTCTAAGATGTTCCTGAGGACCATTATTTAGGCTTAAGTAGGACTTTGGGAGTTTCATCTCTTGCCCCATTGGTGATTGTTTTTGTGCAGGTCCCTCAAACATATGGCACAACAGAAGCTGCGTGCGCGTATGTGTGCGTATAGTAAAGTCGATCCGGGCTTCGGGTTTACGCTTAGGGTTTACGGATTCCAGGAGCTGCCAGACACTTGCTGCATCACGCACCCGTCCCCTACAGACTAATCTCTCATGCCTAAACCCCATATAAGCCCTGGCAATCCTCGTAATGAGTACTGCATGCCTGGGATGCATCATGTCGGATGGTTGTGCACAAACGCATTTGGCTTTCCGAGTCTACCAGGCTCAGAGCTGTTTTGCCATAGGGCTTCAAGCTTTGGAGGCGCAGCAGCATAGGCCTTGCCTGACCGATTCCCTAAGCATGGAGGATAAAAGAAGCAGCCGTTGGTTCAAAATTTGACCCTTCGTTCTTCTTGTGCAGCTTTTCATTGCACCCCTTGCGCACTCGTGCAGCGAACAGGTTGGCAGTGTACTAGAAAAAGGTCCCCTTAAGGCACAGCTACCTCCTCCTAACGGGGCTCCTTATGGAAATGCCTCCAAGGAAGTAACCTAACGGAATTTCGGAAAAAAGAAAAAACTACTCGCTTTTGCTGAAACCTTTGAAGTCCCACGCCGACTGCAATTCAAGGACCAAAGCTCTCTCCGTGAAATCGACGCCCTGCATGCGGCTCTACTCGTTTAGGGTTTAGGGTTTATAGGAGGTGTTGCCAGGCTGTTGCTGGACTGTCATTCTGGTCGCACCATGTCGCACCTAAGGTATGTGGCAAAGGGGCGAAACTGCCCTCACGCGAAGTGCCGTTTCTCGCACGATGTGTGAGGTCGTAAAAAACCCACCGAGCCGTCTTGGTTTGAGATCCAGCAATGTGAGGTGCTAAGGGTAGTAACCCTAAACCCTAAACCCTAAACCCTAAACCCTAAACCCTAAACCCTTACCGCTACAAGCGCCTTGGTTCGGCGCGGCAGACTTCCCAAAGTTGCTCGCGTTTGTTCTTGCCCATTTTCTAGTTAGGAAGGCTGCTGCTTGACGGACGTGGCGAGGGAGGCATTCACCAGCCAGCCGCCATAAACTTGCAAAGTGCGCAGCACCTACAACTCAATCACCCTAAACCAACACCCAAAACCCAAAACCCCCAGAAGTATGTGGGGACTCCGAGCTCAGCTACCTAGCTTGCACGTGCTTGTGAGGGCAGTTGTTTCTCGAGTCCGCGCAGGTGCTCGCTTTTTACTTGGTCACAGCTGCCCTCATCTCAGATTTGCAGCAGCTTGGGAGCCCATTGCACTCGCTTTGAGAACGACATGGCGCTTGTAGAGGTGGGACATGTGCCCCCGTATCCCTCCCATCGGCAGTAGTACCTTGACTTACGATTCATTTAGTGCCTGGCGGTGCCCGGGAGCATCACGCGTTTTCTGCCGCGGCCCATCAGCATTCATCGCAAACGACAATGCAGGATAGCAATCCCTGATCCTGCCTCCATGATACGCGTACCGTTCCTCCATATCTTCTATTTGCTGCACCTTGGATTTGCAGAACGCGCGCCAGATGAGCTAAGCTTTCTGCAGCACACGCTGACGCTCGAAGCCACACCGGAGTTGTACTCTCTCTTCGTGAAGTTTCACAAGGTGGCAGGCAGCACTTGGCGCAGCTATGTCGACCTCATGACTGGCGATACAAATCGCTGCAGCAGGGATTGCGGGTATCCTGCTTGGGACTGCCAACAGTACTACCCGCACGACGAAAAGAGCTTTGAGCATTGCTGCGAGGTCCCGTTTCAAAACATTTCCTGCCAGGGCCGTGCGCGCAGCTGCACCTATCATCAGAGCCTAGGAGTGATGCGCCAGGCGATTTCGGGTCAGGATCCTTGCTTGCTTAAACTAGCCGAAGTTCAAATGCGCTCTTGTGCTTCATGCCCATTGTAGGCTTTTGTGAAGTTTAGCCGTTGTATTCCCTGACTTTTGGAGAAGTCAGGATCTCACCAAGTTTCCCGGAGACGCGGAAGTGTGGCCGAGCTCGGAGCGTTTGAAGCTGCTTTGGCAGGTGGAATGGGCCCGGTTCTGGCTGCCCAGGGACTTGCATCAGAAGCGCATCATCGTGACGACCATCCTGCGTGAGCCCACCGAGAGAATTCGGTCCTATTATTATTTCCAGAACCCAATTGCGTCTCATAGCGGTTTCAAGGATTTCTTGGAGTTCCGCCGGGACTATGTGGCCGGCAACTGGACGCACGCGCAGTTCCTCAAACAGGCATCCACCAAGAACAGGGGGTCCACTTCAATGTCCATCCTCCTGCGATCGTGTTGCGAGTACGAGACTTGGCTTGGGAACGGGTCGATCGAGAAGGCCAAGCTCACATTGTCCACTCAGTTTGACCTTGTCGGCATCACGGAGAAGATGGATGAAGGATTGGTGAGCCTCGGAAAGCTTTATGGCTTGACTGTGCAGCAGCTGGCTGCAGTTGGCCAGCGCATCCCACACGAGCTGGACAACAGCGACCTCAAGCTTGACTGGACCGATGAGGAGTTGGCCTTGGCGACTTTCATAGCGCAGAAGAGTACCGCCATTTACGGCCATGCGCAAGAAGTCTTCCAGCGGCAGTCCCTAGCCCTTTTCGGCAGCGAGGAGAACCTGCAGGCTGCTGTAGCGGCCTTCAAGGATCTTAACCCGGATGCCGATCATTGACCAACTGACAACGGCCAAAAGAGCGCCAAAGAGTTGCTTTTGGCTCTGCCTAGGGACCTGGAGGGTGTTCGATGAGCCTTTCTTAAGACAAGGCGTTGCAACCTTCGGCATGGCGGGGGGTGGGGGGGATCCCGATTCTTGTAGTCAGATGTGGTCAGTATAGTCAATGTAGTTCATATGATTAATAGAAAGAATCAAGAAGCTTCCCTACAAGGGAACTTTGTGCAACAAAAGCTCGGTCTTAACCCGCATTTAGGTGAGAGACCCTCGGAGGGAGGCTTTGCTGCACAAGCAGTGGTGCAGGCCGCCTTCGGACCTCAACTCTTGCGTGGCTTTGCGTGGCTTTGACAGTTTAGGGTTTCGGGTTTAGGGCCTTTATCCGGTCTCAGCTCCTAAAGTTTAGGGCCTAGGGCTTATGGTTCAAACACATGCTTTAGGGGAGACAAGTTTTCCAACTCGCCTGCACCTACCGTTCTGGTGGACCCTACCGGGCCACGTTTACCAAGACGAACATCGAAAAGAGCACTGGATTACATGTGCTATGTGGAAGGAGGACATGTGGAGGTACTTAATGTTGCAGCCTTGGTGTTCCCATCAGACAGGTTAACAGGTGCTGTAACCAGATGTGTGCATGCCACAAGCAAGAGCTATCGACTCTCATCGTTTTCCCCAAGTGCATGCTGCACCCATTCCCCATGCAACGCAGCGCCAGGGATCACAGCATCGTGGGGAGAGTCTGGGTGCTCCAGCCGCAAGGTTCTGTTTTTGGTGTCCGCAGTTGCCCTCCGGACGCAGGGTATACAAGGACATACTGGGTTTTTTACAGGGTATAGAGGGATATACCAGGATAAGCCAGCCAAGGTTTCGTCCAGGGGCATCAACGCGCAGGTCAGCGGACGCACCGCAGACTGCGTCCAGTGCGCCACATACTTTTGTGGAGAGATGAGGGCTTTCCCAGAGTTCCCCTTAGGAGGTGCCTTAGTTACCTCGGGGGGCCAAACTCACTGACAGTTGGGATCATCTACCTTGAGCTGCTATGGCCCCTCTTTTAGGTATGTGGGCAAGAATCCCCTTTGAGGTTGAGTTCGTCCTCCAGGATACTTGGGATAATACGTGGCACTGGCCGGCATGACATGCGGCAAAGTTTGGATGATCCTGGCAGGCGAAATGAAGCCGAATAAGCGTTTATGGGGCAAAACAGATATTAGGCATAGAAGCAGCATTGCATGTTTTTGCAGTCCCAATTTGCTGGTTCTCTTGTACCTCGAGGAATGCTATGCTCGCAGGTACGCGCACTTCGTGGCCACGTCCTTGTTGTACTGAAGTGATGCCTTCATGATGCCTAGAGTTGCGTGGCACGCTTGCTTGGCGAACTACCCTGCACAACTCAGGCCGGAAGATTTCCAGGGGTCAAAGGAGCAAAGGCCAAAGGCGGGAATCATCACTTCAGCTTTCAAACCGGCTGAATGAACCCTGAAAACTGGGATCACACGCCCTACACTACCCTATTCCCTACTGAGGTACATACAAAAGAGATGAACCTGACCCAAGGGTTCATCAAGTCCTGCAAGACATGGTTTCAAGTTTCCAGCTGATCTAGTCGACGACACTGCTAATGCACATGAGGTATAGGGTCTATATTGCAGCCATCATCGGACTCCTGATACTGGTAAGCACATACCAAGATGATTCTGAATGGTATTTGTACTTTTTCTATACACATGCGGTGTTGTCATTTCGGGGATACTTGCAATAGACAGCCTGCTTCACATGGTGGTGGCGCGATTCCGCACGTGGCCAGGTGCTTCGTTGCTCTGCAAACTGGATCCCGCCAGGCACTCAGCCATGTTCTGTGATGGCACCAATCTACGCCCTAGAATTGTGATCATGTGTACCCTAAAAACCCCGAGCCATTTCAAGTTCCATTTGATCTTCTTTTTGCCAGGACTCTGATTGATAAGTCATCTTGGTTTAGGATTTAGAATATAGCAACTATAGTGGTTTCTTGAGAGACCAAGGATTGTTAAGTCGGCTCTAGCCACCCAACCCACATGATTCACACAAGGTCCTCGAGCCTGCATTTCCGCGCTTGCGGGTGAAGGCAAAGCAACCTCCAGCAGGGCGTCTTGTCTTTGCCATGACCCCTGGGACCACTGGGACATACTTTGACCTTGAAAGTACAGAATCTATCCGCGAAGTTCCTTGGTGCCGGTGCTCATTCATCATACTGCGGGCGATGTGTTCGTGCAACTTCCATGAATCTGTGTTTCGTACTGGTCGTCGCAGAGGCGCAGACGTAGCAACACAGGCGTAAGCTTGCATTGAAGCCATATAATCGCATGGTGTTCCTGAAACAGAAACGGCATTCAGGTTGAGATGCGGGTTGCAGGGCTCGCTTAGGGACTCGAGTTCTTGTGTTTACGGGGTCGAGGGTTTTCGAATTTCAGAGTTTCCCGTGGAGGCACACTATGCAGGCTGGATGCAAACACAGGGACTCCCGTAAAGCTTATCCCATGCTGCGGGACGAGATGAACCAGATCATGCCACGTTTACGTTGTATGGACCATAAAAAACCCTTTTGGGCCCTTTTAAGATTCACTACGGCCCCTAAACTACCTATACCCAAAGGGGAACCCTGAAGAACCTAGGGACCTAGTTGGCCCTCCTGGAAAGGCGAAGAAGCTGATCTCCTTGGCCCCAGAGCCCTCGGTGGCACGCTTGCGACTCTGGAACTTCTGCACAGAAAACTCGGTCGTCCCTTTGGACATTTCACATTTTCCCTTTTGGTTGTGCAAGAGGATCTTATTTAGCAAGCTTTTTTCGGAGGGTTTTAAGGGGAATCTTCGAAAATCGTTTCGAGTTTTAAGAACCAGAGGGAGGGCCCCTGCTCACCACGCACTGCTCTGGGCTAACGGTTTATGGCTGGATGCTGTCCATGCCAGTGCCACCGATGCCCACTTGTAACCACTCTACTCCCTTTGCAGCGCCTTGTAACAGCTGGAGACCTTCCTTGCGGCTCAGAGCGCATCGGGCCGTTGATGGCCAGGCTGGATCGGAGCCTGGACATGGAAGATCGAGGGCAGGAGCTGAAACTGTACTCATCCCCAAAGCCCAGCCCCCCCCCCCCCCCCCATTTTGGAAGATGTTCATTACATAGGCGGTTGGTGTTCAGAGTACCTGCAGCAAAGAGGGAGGGATTACAGGTGCGACAGACCAACATTCTCAGAGACATTGATTTGGATAAGAGATGGCATCTCATCCTTGCAGCGGGTTTTTTGAACTTGGCGTATGCTATTGTGGCATGGTGTCCTTCCTGTTGTCATGTTATTTCTCAGCTTGCTTTGCTTTCCAATGCCCTGTTCAGAGAGCATCTGTATCTCTCGTCTTCATGGTTCCATCATTGGCAAGTCCGATGTCATCGTATTCCTGCTACGAAGAATGACGGTGGTAATCCCTATAAACCCTACGGAGACCTGTGAACCTTAGCACACCCAGTACAACCTATAAACCCTGCAATCCCTAAACCAGTCCAACAGTTGGGTTTTCTTTGAGTCCATGCCTGACGAACTGCCAGTCTCACTGATTTTCACCTCTGTCCAATGATGTCTTTGAGTACCTTTCAGTCTGATGGATTTGGAGGTGTGGTTGATGGGCTCCCGGGGGTGGGGGTGGGTTTTAACTCCGTCCGGTCTGGATTCGTCCTTGTCCCTACACAGACCACGAACCTTGCCGGCCTTGTGCGAGAGTGAGCGACTAAACCAGTACCACAGTGGTCTCTGCCTCTGCTTCAGGACCTGGAGCCTGGCGAGTGGCAACGACGCATGCAAGGCGCTTCAGCCTTGCGCCCCTTTCTTTTGCGACTCCAGTGTAGCCCCAAAATGAGGTTTTAGGGTTTATTGATAGGGTGCGATCAAGGGTGCCGAATGGCATCGTATGGTGGACTGTTGCAAAGGGTACCGGAGCCTCCCAAAACCGGCTGCGAAGGAAGCCTATGCACCACTGCCAGAACAAAATACATGAGCCCTAACGCCCTGAACCCGATGCCTGGACCGTACTTGAACTTGAGCCGCTTTGTAGATGGTCCTCATACTCAACTAAGAGGCTAGTACTCGTAGTAGCATAGGTTACATGAACCCAATCTTGGAGTTCATGTGTCTGCTAGGCGAAGAAACAACCCTCAAGCCCCTCAACCCTATAAACCTGTAAAGCCTTCACCCGGAGCGCTCAAGCACGGAACCGTGGAGACACAAATTCGTGGGGCAGGCCTCGAGTCGGGCAAGCAGGGGGCTCATTCGCGGCTTGCGGTTAGAGACTTGGTTCAGTCACGGAGTCTGGGTTTAGGGTTTAGGGTTTCGGGTTTAGGGCTAGGGGACCTGGCGATGGGGCACGAGTCTCGTGCCTCCTTCCTGGGCCTCTTCGCTTGTGACACTGGTGTCCATGATCTTTGGACATCAGGTCGTGGGCCTAAACACCCCAAAAACTCTGATTTCCGCACCAAGGCCCGGCAAGGTCCTCGATATTCGGAACAACTACGAGTGCAGCTGGCATGGTTAGTCTTTGCAGGAGCCAAGCTGGTTGTATGGTTCACATACCTTAGTCGCGGTTTGCCACGTGCCAGTGCCAGAGTCGAACACTTCTCGACCCTACATCCAGAAAGCAGAAGTTCTCCTCAGAGTTGTCAACAACCACTTGGACTTGGATGCCCAGTGGTGACCTTTTTCTCCTTTTTAACAAGTCAGGTTCGCTTCTAAGCGAACTCCAAACCCTAAAACCCGTCAACCCCTCGAGGCATTTGGTTCTTGCTGGACAACTCGGGATGTTCCCTCTCATACTAACAGTCCTTCATAGGGATTATAATCGGGGGTACTACCATCCCCATTAAGGACTGTTACCCTAAACCCTAAACCCTGAACCGGCAGAAAATCGGGGGAAGATCCCAATGGAGAACCTTCGACGAAAGGTGGGACCTGGGCCACTTCGCACCTGCGAAGCGCCCTGGAACTGAGGAGCTGGTGGTGCCAGCCTCGAATGTTTAGGGTTTAGGGTTTAGGGTTTAGGGTTAGAGTTTAGGGTTTAGGGTTTGGGGATTAGGGTTTAGGGTTTAGGGTTTAGGGTCTAGGGAGTTTGGGGGTTCAAGTGTTTACTTACTGGCTCTTAGTAGGGCAGTGGGGAACTAGGTGCCCTATAGAATTCCTTGAAGGGAATACAGGGGGATGAGAACTGGAAAGTTCAGGGTATGGAAGTTTGTCGCCCTCGAAGCAGGCAGCGCGCAGTCCTGCTGCAAATGGTCTCAGGGTTTGTGCAAGAATTGGTTCTCCGACATAGCGTGTGGCTAGGATTTCGAGGCTCGATGCAAAAAAGGTTTAGGGTGTTGGGGGTGTTCGGGATGTTTTTTCCGTTTTTTGTTTTTGTGGTTGTTGGCGGGTGGTCGAGATGTGCGGCTGCCCACGCCTGCGTTCAGGCTGCTAGTATCACGTGGTAGATTGGCCCCTTTAGCCTCTTGGCTGCCTTGTTGGGCAAAGCTGCCCCGTTCGCCTTGCCTCTCATTTTATCCCATCAGCAGGGTTCCTGTCCAGATGGATAAAAAGGTTTCGGGCCCTGGGATGCTTGAGAGATCCTCTGTTGAGTTGGTTAGTGCAGGGGTCTCCACAGATATCGCTGGCGTTTTTTTCCTGCCAACCGCTTTTCTGGGAAATGCTGCCGTTTGAGAACTGCCCATGAACCACTTAGTGGAGAGGCGACCCCTGGCGGCAGCAGAGCACGTGCATGGCATGTGATCTTGCTTCTCATTTTGCAAGCTTAGCCTCGCAACAGTAGCAGCTAAGTTCAAAAAAATAGTGCAAGCGAGCAAACTCCAGGAATCTCGAACTTTCATCTGCGACGCGTAGAGATAGAGAGCAGGCGAAGAATTTCCTTGAGAGCCCCCAACACACTAAGCAGCAGAGTACCCAAGGGCTGCTGCCGCCCTTCTCACCCCTAGCTGTTTAACCCGGCCATGGGCGCCAACCAGAGCGCAGAAGAAGTGCCAGAGGCTCAGAACGAGTACATGTGGGCTGGGGCAGACTTGGCATCAACTTTTAACGCTTATGGGGGGTAAATACTAATCCCACTGCAACCCCTGATCGCCTACAGTTGTTTTGCTTTTCGTAAGGAAGTTGTGACCCGTGTGGGTCCTTGTGGCCCTAGTCCTGAGAGAACTGACCCTTTGCTTCCTCAACTCCTGAGGGGTCACACCCCCGAACCCTAAATGACGTTGTGGACGTAAGTTGCTGGTGGGGAAAAACCGAAACCCCCGTAACCCGAAACCCGAAACTCTAACCGCGCACTCAGGATGACAGACACATCTGCCAAGTTGAACTATCAGGACCCAGCCTCGGGTCTCTGAAACCAAGGGATTGCCAGGCTTTAGAGGGCTTGAGGGCTTTAGTTTAAAGACTTCGGCCTTCTGCAGTGTCTTGATAGTAAGGCTTAGAGGGCACACGTGCCTTGCTCATGGGGGGCTCGTGCAGAATGTACTGGCTGGCCAGCTAAGAAACCAATCTAGAAGAAGCGTAGTAAGGCCAACTGTGTTTATTCGTATCGGTACTAACAGTGGTTCCCAAAGTCATGAGTCACAATTGAAAGAGCCAACTTCTACAAATCACTTTGCTGAGGGAAACAAATGAACAGTTCAGGCACAGCCCAGGCGAAAATAGCGAACTAAGGTTTTGCAACAGAGGACCGTGAGCTTGAGCACATTCGGCATTTCGGGAGGTGCAGGGTTTGGGGGGTTAAGGCCCGAAAACAACTGATAAACGCAACGCCCTTGTGGTTGCAAAGCCGGCCAACCACCCTAAACCCTAAACCCTAGACCCTAAACCCTAAACCCTAAACCCTAAACCCTACGCATCTAAAATCTTTTCGGCAAGGGAAGTTCCGAGCCCATAGACACGAACATGATCAAGGCCGGCGGGGCTGGTTTGCAGTTCAAGGCATGAAGAAGCAGGGTCATGACGGCAAATTGCCCTGCAGCTCCCTCCTCAAAAAAAGGGTGAGGATTCAGGGTTTGGGGGTTGCGAGGGCTTGGCAGGTTTTGGTCCCTTTTTTTTTCTTTGGGGGGGGGGGGGGGGTTGATGAGAGGGCTACATGCGGGAAGTTGAAAGGGCCCACCGTCTTGGGCAGTTGCCCCACGAGGATCCCGGAGGAAGCCTCTTATGCTTTAAGGCCCGAATTCAGGTAGGACACTTGCGCCAGTCAGGGCCTCCCTGAGCCTTACTGCCTTAAACCCTATTCTTGGGTGTTTTGGTATTCTGAGGGGGGTACCATGAGAGCAGGAAGATCATGAACTCGGTGTTCTTCATTGCAAATTGAAAAGGCCCAAGGAGTCTTAAACACAGTTGTCACGGGAGAAGAAGAAGGAGAGAACAGACCTTGAATGAACGGCTGCAAGAAGTTTATTGTATAACAGTGTAGCTCGTGCACCTTGTGCTATCCCCGAGTTTGAAGATGACAGGTGGTCCCAAAATTCCGTAAGATCTACTCGCAAGGTTTCACCTGCATTCGTTGCGCGCGAAAACCAGAAACGCTTCCAAACCATGTAGATTCAGTATTGCAGAATGAGAGAATGAGGATAAAGCACGAGGATAAAATACAGGAGGTTTAGGGTTTAGGGTTTAGGGTTCCGTTTGCTCGTTTTCGAAAGATGGTGGTGACGTGCCAGGAAACCAATCGAGGACCGAAGCCGACCATGATGGCTCCTTGGGCCAAGGATGGTCAGAAGCTGTACATTCGAGACCTCAATACCCCCACAGAGCCCTAAACCCTAAACCCTAAAGTAAATTCCCGACATGCAATCCTTAGCTGGTCTTAGGTGGAGCTTAGGGTGTTCCTGACTAGGTCCATGCGTCAGCTCTTCATGGCCAGAAGCGATCATCCCCTTATGCCACAAATCCGCTCTAGCAGGGCCGGCTGTCCTTGAAACATGTTTCTTATGCCCGCGCTCGTTCTGCGAGCGAGTCAGGGGGAGAGACACATAAACAAAATTCAGAAATGTTGAAAATGAAACAAACACAACAAATCTGCTGTCTAGCTATGTGCGTTGTGAGTCAACACAGTCCTAAGCTACAGCACAGCAGATTTTGTTCATCATGAGAAGTGGTTGTTCCCAATGTCCTTGTCGGACTCGCAGCGTTACACAGCACATCCCACAAAACCCTAAACGCCAAACCAGGCTGGGGCCTGTAGCATGTTGATACTGTCGACCGCGGCCTTGCAAAGCCTTGCCAGCCGTGCACGAGGGTCTTATATACTCAACAGCCGAGTTGAGGGCCAAAAACCTAAACCTCCATCCCCAAACCGTTGTGATTTTCCAGGATCCCTGGTGAGTGGTTCGTCCAGATATGCGGGTGCCAGCAAAACCCCAAAGCAAGTTCCGCAAAGGGCGATTTTCGCAGCATCCCAGCTGATGCCTGGACCCAGCTGCACTCAAGATTCGAGGCCTACTGATGCAGCAGTTTAGGGTGTCAGGGCTTGGCGAAACATAGCTTTCATGGGAGGGATCTCTGACACGAATACAACATGGCCACTTCCTTGTTGGGGCGCCTCGATTGCAGCATGTTCCATTAGAAGGCTTGCACCACTTGGGTCACACTCGGCAGGCATTCCAGGGCAAGGCCGGGAAAGTTGCTCGGTGGCAGATGAAAGAACCCCCAGATGGGGCAGGTTGGAGAGCTCGGACGAACACAGAGTATGCAAGCGATGTACCGTACCCCGTCTAGGGCAAGTTCTCCAACAATAATTTCTTGGCCGAGGCTTTGAAAGCTAGACGAGTTGCATTCCGTTTTTTCCGAGTTTTGTTTTGCTAAGGTGACGAATCTTCGTGCCTCAGCACCAGAATGGACACCATGGGCAGCTGCGGGCCATGAGATCTTCGGCAGAATTGTTGGAGGCATGCCTTAGAAGCAGCAGCGCAGAGAGAGCGCCCCAGGCCCCATGAAGGAAATGGCCCCATGTGCCCCAAGAAACCAGGAAGGAAAAGACAATAACAAAGAAATCTTGTGTACTCCCCAGTCTCAAACTCAAGCTGATGGGCTCAGGGACGCTGAGGGAGAGACTTACAGGTTCTTAGAAGAGAACTCGGGTGTCAGGGTAATTTATCATCCCTCAAAACGGGGATATGGGGTACCCATGTCCCTCATTCTCCATTCAGAATTGGTAAGAGGAGAGTCCATCTGTTCTGCTGCACCTGCCAGGATTCTGAGTACTTACAAACAAGACTGACTGCTGTGCCGCATGCCTATAAATCACATGCCCGATCTTTTCCGAGACCCTGGCAAACTCTGACTACAAATCGCGCTGAGGGTGCCTGCGCCTTACCATCCGCCGCTGGACGCGCAGTGGCGCTGGGCTCAGCATCCCACAGCCCAAAATCTGGAGACATGTTGAGTCGCACCGCAGCCTTCTCGACCCGCAGAACTGCCTGCTGAGGTCCGTACCTCTTCCACGCCAAGTGTCGATCTTGGGCTGCAACGCCATGACAATGTCAATAAGCACAACCCTGCCCTACGCCCTACGCTGGCACAAGGTGCAAAAGCATGTAAGTAGGCGCCACATGCTTAAATGCCCTGCAAAGCGCGGGGTCGAGAATCCCAACGAAAGTAGGGTATGTGCACCAGAAGCCCTTTAGGGATCTTTAAGTCCCCTGCTGAGCGTAGGCCCGAGGACTGTTTTGGACGTTGAAACAGTCGACAAATCGCTTTCGGGCCTAGGGCTTGGCGATATTTTTGCGGCTTGCCTTCTGAGGCCTGAAGAACCCCAAACCCATTTTTTGCGTAGGTCATCTAGCAGAACGCAGAAGACATCTATTTGGGGGCAGACTACCTGTTGGTAGAATGTCATACCCTGCATCCTGGACCATTGCTTTGCCTCTGGAACCCAAGGACTGGTGGGCAATCGACGGGAGGCGCCCGTCCCACTGGGTGCACTAAACCCTAGAAACCTTGAATCCACTTGTAGTCTTACCACGCTGCATCCCGCA